GTAACAGCTTGTTACCTTCAAATGGAAGCTCAAACGATGTAGATGTTGGATCTACAAGCTCCTTCCCATTCCAAGCTTCTCAACCTTCAAACTTCTTCAACAAGTTGCACCAAAAACACTCTCTTAGCCTCTCAAGCACAAGGAAGCAGCAAAGAATGGTTAGGGTTTCTCCTATGGGTAATGAAGTGGTAAAGGAGGCCACAATAGGCAAATTAAATCCTTTATACAGGGTGCAAACCCTAAAAATTAGGGTTTTCCTTTACAGCGCCTACTCGTCGATTCGGGGCCTTTCGACTTGTCGAGTAAGGTCTAAATCTCGCGTCCTCATAAATGATCTCTACTCGACGAGTTGGAGCTCCCCAACTCGTCAAGTCCTAGCATAAAACCCTAAAACTTGGAAAAATTAGATGATACCTGGAACGGGTGTTACACTACAGGTGGACTCGGCTACCCCCACACCTCTATTTTGTGACAATGTTGTTGCCCGTCACATTGAAAATAACCCAATCTTTCACGAGCACACCATGTCGAAATGGATTGTCATTTTGTCAAGGAACGAGTAGAGTCTAAGGAAATTCTTTCGTTGCACATCGATTCCAAGAACCAAATTGCAGATCTCTTCACCAAACCTTTTATCTCTACCGTATGTTTGGGTGTTTGTTTCTCTCTCTCTCTCTCTCTCTCTATATATATATTATATCTATATATATATTATATTATATATATATAATAATATATATATATCTATATATATATATATATGTTAGGAACCGGACCGGGTACACGCAGCGGAACACTATCACACACACAAACACACGAAGGAAATAAAGCAAGAAGGAACACAAGGATTTTACGTGGTTCGGATTCGGTGTAAATCCTACGTCCACGGGCGCAACTAGATTTTATATTAACCCACTATAAGATTACAAATGGTAATATCACTCGGCACAAATACAAAGAGTTACATCGCACATATATATACTGAGAGAGGAGCCGTTTTGTTTGACCAGCCACCATTTGAATTTTCTTCCATTCACATGTTACGGCCGAAACAAAATTGCACATGGATTCCATTAAACAATTAATACTTTTGCCGTCCACTCACCGTCCAATAAACAAATATTAAACAATTCAATTGTTTAATTTGTCAAGTTACATTTATTGCCCTTGAACTCTTAGGAACTTGTCAATTTGTTCATGACTCCATAAATCTTAACAATCTCCCACTTGGAGACTTGAACAAATTAGTCTTTCTCCGCCATCCAACTCTTAATTACTCCAGTAATCTTAAAAACAACCAAGTCCTTCAAGCTTCCAGTTCCAAAGAACAAGCTAAAACTTAGTCTGATTTCTCTAATTGCAGCCGCCCCTCATCTTCAAGTACTAGAAGGGCCAGTTGAAGCTCCCACTAGCTCCAACTCAGTCGTGGCTAATCCCACCACCGACTCATCCTCTGTCTCAACCGGTTTGGACACTCCACCAGATCCAGAGATACACCGAGGACCACTAACACTCTCCAAACTTTGCAAACTTCCAACAAGAGAGAATTTTCCAGTCTTAGTCTTCAAAACCCAACGGCTCTTTGTAACTGTACGCGGGACACACCCCGTGCTCCCACTGTCACAGAATCCCCTGAATGGTTTAGAATTTCCGACTCATTCAGCTAACATCCCCTTGGCTCCAGAATTCATGTTTGCAAAATGAACTCTCTTAGCAGTAGATTTAGCGATCCAGATTTTGTTTTGCTTAATCGGGATGGCCATACTTCCCTCAGTAGGTACCTCAACCATATACAATGACCCACGCTTCAAACCTTGAGCAATCACCGAATTACCATTGACCACCATCCATTTACCACCACCAAACCTTACTTCCAGTCCTTGTTTATCCAGCTGACCAACAGAAATCAATTTTTTCTTCAGCTCCGGAATAACCCTGACATTTTTCAGGTTCCATGTAGTTCCCAATGAAGTAACCAGATCAATATCTCCCATGCCCGTTACCTGAAGCATCTCGTCATTTGCCAACCGTACCTTCCCAAAATCTCCTTTTTAGATTCACCATCGTTTCCCCGTTGTCCATGGCGTGAAACGAAGCCCCTGAATCCATGACCCAAGAGTCTACAGAACTTTCCATACTGAGTATCAATGCATCATCCTCAGACACACTCTCAGCACCGGTAATGTTCAATTCTTTCTTTGGACATTGACTCTTAACATGTCCCACCTCCTGGCAGTTCCAGCACTTCACATTCTTCTTAGTTCTAGATGAACTTCTTCCCCGACTCCCACTGCTTCCACTATTCCTGCTATTCCCTCTACCTCTCCGACATTAATAAATCAGAGAAGAGGAAGATCCACCTTGATTCTTGCGTCTGATATCTCGCCTAGAACCAAATCTCTAACCCCTTCAAAAGTCATACCACTGGTCCCCACGGAACTTGTAACAGCAGTAACTGTTCCGGACCAGCTATCAGGTAGAGAAGCTAGTAGCAGCGAAGCTTGAGTCTCATTATCAAATTTAATTCCCACAGATGATAATCTGGACAGAATTGAATTTAGATTATTAATGTGAACCGTAACTGAGCCCTTCCTCATTCATCCTTGTAGTGAACAGCTCCTTAATCAAGAACACCTTGTTAGCCGCCGATGGTTTCTCATACATATTTGACAGAGCCTCCATCATACCACGCGCCGTGGTTTCATTCATGATGTTGAAAGCAACGCTCTTCGTCAACGATAATGTAATAACCGCCTTGGCTTTCTTGTCCTTTGAGTTCCACGCATCTTCAGCAGCTTTTTCAATTTTCTCCGGTTTGTCTCCGAGTACCATGTCCAAGTCTTTCTGACATAGCAATGCTTCTAATTGCATTTTCCACCAGCTAAAATCAGAACCATTGAACCTTTCGATTATAATCTTGTCTTCAGCCATTACGACAAACAGGATACAAATCAGGTACACTCGTGCGTGATAAAAAAAACGATCGTACCCTCCAACCTTGCTAACCAGGCTCTGATACCAGTTGTTAGGAATTGAGACAGGGTACACGCAGCGGAAACACTATCACACACACAAACGAAACGAGAAAATAAAGCAATAAAGGAACACAAGGATTTTACGTGGTTCGGATTCGGTGTAAATCCTACGTCCACGGGCGCAACTAGATTTTATATTAACCCACTATAAGATTACAAATGGTAATATCACTCGGCACAAATACAAAGAGTTACATCGCACATATATATACTGAGAGAGGAGCCGTTTTGTTTGACCAGCCACCATTTGAATTTTCTTCCATTCACATGTTACGGCCGAAACAAAATTGCACATGGATTCCATTAAACAATTAATACTTTTGCCGTCCACTCACCGTCCAATAAACAAATATTAAACAATTCAATTGTTTAATTTGTCAAGTTACATTTATGGCCCTTGAACTCTTAGAAACTTGTCAATTTGTTCATGACTCCATAAATCTTTTATATATATATATATATATATATATATATATATATATTATATATATATATATATATATATATATTATATATATATTATATATATATATATATATATATATTCTTGGTTTGGTGAATAATAAAAGTTAAGTTGGCTCAATATCGCTTTCTTCAAGTTAAACATTGTAAGTCAATATCCCATTTAATTTATTGGTATATATGAACTAAAATTTTCTTAAATATAACCAAAAAAATTGCGTACGTACGTGAATTCAAGTTGAATTATATATGCATGCATATAATTGTGTATCTCTGGGCCTCCTACAATACTTTGAAGCATATCATGTGAACGCTTAACTTTTTAAAGCATATCATGTGAACATAATGAGTTAATTAATATCCAATTTTATAGTACTTCGGACCCGCTTACTTCCATATCGTTACTTCTACATCACTTCGGACCCGCTTACTTCCATATCGTTACTTCATCACTTTTTTCCCCTTTGAGGATATGGGTACTCCGATGACCCTCTAAGAACGGGTCAATCATCATCTGGGTCATAACGGAGATCTCCCAAATCATTATAGAATGCATAATCATAAACCTTGTCACATTCTTTAAGTTCCATGGATCCAGATGAACACATGAACACATGAACTTGGTTCTTGAACTTCTGGAAAAAATCTAACACATGATGGATATACACATGATGAGTTGCTAAATGTGTACAAAAACAAAACAGAATTGACTAAATGTGTACAAATGCAGAACATCGTTGGTCGGAAAACATATATCAACCGGTCATAATGGTATTTTGTGAACAATTCAAACAAGTTCAATAGTAATATGTATACAAACAAACATAAGTGACTAAATATGTATAAAAGCAACACTATATCATTCTAATAAGTCATTATCCTATAAATTATCCCTATAAAGTAACAAAGGTTTCATCAAAAAAATTTTTAGAACTAACTTTACATGTTACATTTTCGATAGACTCTAACCATCATTTCACTCCCAAAAATCTTTATAAAATAACAAAAGTTTCTTGAAAATGTTTAGAACTAACTTTACATGTTACGTTTTCTATAAAGCTTCAAGAAAATGTTTAGAACTAACATTACATGTTACGTTTTCTATAAACTATAATGATCGGGTAATTTGGGTTTCATGAAAATATGAAAACTCTAACCATGATCCATTACTGAGACGTGGTTTTCTTTTCGTGAGGTAATATTTCTAAAATATGATAATCTTAAATGAACCCATCCTCCCACAAATATATATCCCCTCAAAAGGGGTCCATTGAGCACCACCCCAAATATATCATTATACTTTTATGATTTTTTCAAATTTAATACACAACGGAAAAATCATCATATAATAACGCTTATATAAATTATGGTTTAGTTATAGACATACAAGAAGCATAACTGAACATAATCATTTCAATCATTATTATTGGTAATTTTAAAGTATATAATTTAAAATTTATTAAAGTTAATATCGTGGCCAATATTCACAAAGCCGTAGATAATGTGGTAATTATATTTATTTTATTAGAGACAACAAATTTTGCGGATCAGAATTCCTGGTGTACGAGATAAAAATCAAAATTGTAGGCATTTTAGTGATCCTTTCATAATTTCACTTCAAAAACACATCCAGTTGAAGCTCTTGTTACCTATGAAAAAAATAAAATAATTTGAAAGTACAATGTTATAATAAGAAAAAAAATGAAAGTACAATAATATAATCAGAAAAAAGAAATTAAAAAGTAAATTGCTATTTAATAAAAACTTGATAAAGCTAGGCACCAGAGGACCTGGTTTGTCGCCTCAAGTCGTGATCAGCATTTCTAAGAAACTGATCCCAACCACTTCCTTCACTTGTATCCAAATAATCATATGGAACCGCTGTCTTCAAACCCGGCCTCACTCCACACTCACTCTCCACCATTCTAAATTCCATTCCCCCTCTCACCGATTCCGATTCCGATTCCGATTCCAATTCCGGCCATGTAAACAACAACGGCAATGTAACCTCACACCACGGGTTAAAATCCAAAAGCTTAACCTCCCCATCCGTTCTCACATACACATCAAACGTGTAACTTTCCGACTCAAATCTCATTCTCACATTCTCAGTATAAAATTTCTTGATTCCCGTTTCCAACTCATGTTTCTTTTCGATCAGAATCGGGTAAAACCCCGTGACTTCTCGTTGCGAGATTCCGACCAGGATGCGATTCCCGGACGAAGCAACGGAATTCCATTTCCGGGTGGAGAGACGGGTACCATTTCCGAAGGGCAAGGAAGAAACGATCAGGTCTAGGGGCATTACAGTCATTACACAAATCATAAGCATGGCAAAGATCGTGGACCAATGAATCGGATGATTTAAGCAAAAGGGCGATTTCGGTAAACGAGGTGCATTTGAGGGTCCCGGTTGAGCTGATCCAAGCAGAGTCTTTAGGGGAGGTCCAGTTGAGTTTAGGGAAGATGGCACCGCCGAGTGTTTTGATTGATTCGTTGATTTGTGATTCCAATTCCGGGAATGAAGGTGGTGGTGGTGGTTGTTCTGATTCGTCATCGGATTCTTGTTCTTGGGATATAATGTAGTCTTGTTGGTCTTCGGAATTGTGGATTCTGTTGGGTAATGCATCGGAATTGGAAATGGAAAGTGGAAGGAGGAAAGGACCGGAATCATCCAGGAGATATTGAATGAAGGATACCGGGAGCTCATGGATTATTGTTTTGATGGTTGTGGATTTGAATTTTGGATACCATTCTTGGATTTGGCATCTGTTCACTTCTTCTTCCTTCATTTTTCACTAAAAATTGCGACCCAAAGATGAATCGCTTGATCAATCTGCCAAAAAAAAAAAGAACTTCAATTGTCTCACATATCTATATAAAGAATCCAAATAGATGTTTGAGTTCACTGATACTAATTTAGTAGATATCATATTAACAAGGGAACATACTCTCTGAAGCAACGAACGCCCATTAGAGTAAAACCTATAAGCACAAGTTACATATTGCAAATGTATTTTGTTGTGATCAAAAAGCAAAATTGGTTTCACGATTTTTTTTTCTTCTTAAAAAGCCTAATGCTAGAGATATTAAAAAAAATACAGACAAAGATACCAGTATCGGAGAAAAAATTAATTATGATGATGAAAGAACAGAAGTACCCAGAACCCTAGATGACAAAATCAATCGAAGTTCTCTTGAACTCAATTGAAAAGTTCATTACTTTTATTTGTTTTATAGCCTTTTGTTTTCATTAAATGGGATCGACATACGACAACACCTCCACAAGTAGCGGGTGAAGGCGACGATGTTGATGATGAAAGAATAAAATTACCACAAATCCACAGAAGAGTTGCAAAGAGATGAACAGAAGTAGTGAAGAACTGGGGAGAGGCTGATGAAGCTTGAAGCTGGCGAGGACGAACGGCAGCGTTGAATGGCGGAAACGAGGAACAAGGGAGCGGAGTTTGTTTCTGAGAGAATGGAAGAAGGTGGGTGCCTGGGTTGGATCATGGGTGGGCATTCGTTTGAATCGTTAATTACTTGGAAAACCGACCCGTTTTCGATTTTATAATTGATTTTTAAGATTTAATATTCTAAGGGAAAATAAATTATGTTTGTAAAAAAAACATCATTTAAGTTTGGTTTTCTTTTGTTCAAAAAATACTATCTAAGTTTTCGTCGTTCAAAAATCATTATCCAAATAAGTTTTTTATATAAAAAATACCAACGAATTATATACTTTGTTCAAATGTCACCTTCTGATAAACAACATTTTACGGTAAAATTAACTAGGAGGAAATAAACTACGGAACATAACTTAGAAGGGTAACGATGTTTTAAAATCGTTCAAAAAACATCATTTAAGTTTGGTATGTTAAAAAAACATTTATGTAAGGTCTTTGTACAAAAAACATTTATTTAAGGTCTTTATACAAAAAACATCAACAAGTTATAAGTTTTGTTCAAATGTTACCTGCTAGTAAACGATTTTTGTAGGTTAAAAAATGACTTGATCTAATTATTGTGATATTGAATAATAATTATTGATATGATATTAATTGATATATTCCTTCTTTATAAAATTATTTAGGGCTTCTTCATGAACGAATGACTTTTTCTCCTAAAAATTGTTTCCTCTTCTACTAAATCGATGATCTCCAAGACTCCAACTCAAGCTTACACATTTCAAAGACAAAATATATTTGATGATGCAAACTCTTGTAGTTGTGGGCATCATTCTAGAATTTGAACATCAACCATGAAAACTAATCCTGCAAAACATTCATGGTTTGTCCCAACCAAAATGGTAATTTTAACCGAAAGCTCTATCATGTCATTCTCTTATATATTTGTTTGGTGATGTGATTCATTTTTTAATATATATGTGTAAGCTTTTTCTATGGGTAGTATAACAATCTTGGGTAATATACTTTTTTGAATATGTATGCCAATTTGTAATGTGACTACGACAATTTATTGATGAATATTTATGTCAATTTCTAATGTGGTGAAATCTACTTGTTGTTTGCATTTTGTCTAACTACATGTCGTGAATAAACTAAAATAGATTGCAAACTATTATGTATCTTCCAATTTTCATCAATTTCATTATTGAACCACTTATGAACATTTATCCCCTTGTTTTTATAAATTTCAGTCGTCCGTTGATGAAAAAACCCTAAATCGATTTTTAAAGGAAGATTGTATCAACTAATTTCAGGTCACTAATTATTATGTCATGTCACCAATAATTAGGCTAAGTCGTCATTTATCCTACAAAGAGTTGGTTAGTGGGTAATATTTGAACACAACGTATAGTTTGTTGGTGTTTTTGTAAAAAAAAACTTTACTTAGATAGTGTTTTAGTGTTTTTTAAACAAAGCAAACTTGAATGGTGTTTTTTGAACGATTTTGAAACATAGTTACCCCCACGAGTCATTTTCGTTTGTTTTTATCTTAATTAATTTTTACCGTTAAATGTAGGTTACCATAAGGGTGACATTTGAAGAAAGTATATAGTTCGTTGGTATTTTTTTGTACAATGACCTTATTTGAATGATGTTTTTAACAGACCAAATATAGATGGTGTTTTTTGAACAATTTGAAACATAGTTACATTTAAAAGTCATTTTCCATATTCTAAAAGATGTATAAGTGTTGCATAATTTGAAAAAAGTAATGTCACTTTTTTTTTTTACTTTTTAAATAATCAAAATATAAAATATTCAAATAACTGAATATTTAATTATACAACTTCAGATAATAAAGTACATTTGTGATTAGAGAAATAGTAATTGCACCACAATTATTATGTTTTATTCAAAAATTCGATTTTGACATATATTTATTTTTTGTTAAAATTTAATCATTAAATTTTGTAATTTTTGCAATCGCTGATATAAATGCTGGCGTGTGGTCTTTGGTGGTGTGATGTTAACATGACATGATGACATGTTATTTTTTTGATAACATTGTCAAACTTAGAAAAAAAAAGTAATATAAAATAAATATTATGATAATTATCTAAAAATATAGTGATTTGTGTTTTTTAAAACTTTGTTAACCACAAAGAGGATAAATTAGCTTATGGACTTTTAGAAGAAGTTGTAAAATGAAATTTAATTTGCGTGTAACAATATTGGTCTTAAACTATTGTCTTTATTTACATTGTTACACTTTTATTAGACTGATAATTAAACATTTTCAATGTAAATATATTAACCGTTAGGATCTTATTTCGCAAATTACCTTTTAATTGGTTTTATTTTATAAATTTATTTCTAGGTTGAAATTAAAAGACCATTTAAAATGGCCCTACGAGGGTGTTACATAAGATTTTTGGGATTAATATCTTCAATGATGGTGAACTTCACTAGATGTTGACAAGACTTTAAAAATGTAAGTTGTCCATTCTAAGGTGCCTTATGATATCAAGCCTAACCAACAGTAACTAAGTCTTTAATATAGATCTGGTTGAGTTTGATGGTCCCACAAAATTATTGTTGTATCCTAATAAATAAACATTCTATATAGGACTAATTTTCTTTAAAAGAAACTTTGTTAACATAGCCCCAACTTCTATTATATTTTGGCTTCGTTTTCTTTTATCTCTTACATTTATCATAAAACAATCATTCGTTTTGTAAAAATTGTATTTGCAATGCTATTCTATTAAATGTCCACAATTAAGGTCGGTTCATTGATTTTGAAGGCCCTCTGCGAAATGGATCATCTAAATATAGTTTTTTGTATATAAATTGTCATGAAGGAAAAGTAAAAAATAAATTAAATTAACCATGCTCTATACCACACCTTGGTTATTTTCTAAAAAACAATTTATCCCATTCTCTTTTTAATTAATTCAAACACAGAGATTTTATTCTAGTAAAAGTAGAGAACGTACTTGAATAATCCACCTCCACAAGCATGTTGGATGTAGAAGATGAATCCATTATTAAAGAACAATTTTTGCGAATATTATAATAAATTAATTATTCAAAACTTTAAATTACATTAGCTTCCTGACCCTTTGAGTTTACAAAAAATTTAGAGAGATAAATCAACTATCTAGCATTCAAAATCGAAATGGTAAGTTCATTGGTCGAATCTTTTCCATATGTACTCGTGGAATAACTAGTATCCGTTGAATTTTTTTCATAAAAGAAACCTGGCAACTTAGGTTGAGGCAATTCACCCTCACTACTCCCCAACATTAGAACCACAGTCGCCATTGTTGGTCTGTCTTCAGGTCTCTGTTGCACACACAACAACCCCACATGGATCGATCTCATCACTTCTGATAAATTCATCGATTCAATATTAATACACTCTTCAACCAGTCCCCAAAGATTTCCCTTCTTTATGTAATCCCCATGCCTGAAAAAAAAACCCATAAACGCATTGAAGAAGATGAACACTGAACAATGGTTAATTTAATTGAAAATTGAAACAAAAACTAACATGTCCGATAAGATTGTGGGTGTATTCTTTATGAAAGAATCCTCTGTTTTTCTTCCCACTCACAATCTCCAGCATTACAACACCGAAGCTAAATACATCTGATTTGATCGAAAAGATTCCATCTCCTGCATATTCTGGTGCCATGTATCCACTGCATTGAATTTATTGGTTAAATTTAAGAAATTTTATTAAATTCGGGTATAATATATATGATTGATGATTGATGATTGATGATTCTCACTATGTTCCAACGACTCTGTTTGTGTTTGCTTGTATTTCATTTCCTCCAAAGCTTCTTGCCATTCCAAAATCTGATATTTTTGGGATCATTTCATGATCGAGTAAGATGTTGCTGACTTTGAGATCTCTATGGATGATTCTTAATCTTGAATCTTGATGAAGATAAACAAGTCCCCTTGCAATCCCTTTGATGATCTCAAAACGAGTAGCCCAATCTAGTTTTTTGCTTTTAGTTCCATCTGTAGGTGGTTTTACATCTAAAAGTTAATAAATGTGTTTACATATATTTGTTTATTATAGAATCCCACTTTCAATTTTTTGAATACAAGATTGTATTTTCTTTATTGAAAGTATAAAAGAAATGAACATAGGATGCTATAGTCAAAAAACAATTGAAAATAAGTTGTTGTTTCTAACATTTAACCCTTTTTTTAAGGTATTATACTTGAAAAATCTACCCAAATATAAAAATATCTTGTCATTTTTTTTTAATCTAATTAGAACATTATACTATGAAAAATCTACCCAAAAATAGCAATGGTAGATTTTTTTTTTTTTTTGTGTACAATGATGTAATAGGAAAAAAAAAAAAAAAAACAAAAGTAGGATGCTATAATCATACCAAATATAAAGGAGTCGAGGCCCTTGTTTGACATGTATTCATAGACCAACATTTTATCTGCTCCCTTGATGCAACAACCTAAGAGCTTTACAAGATTTCTGTGTTGTAGTTTAGAAATACAAATAACTTCGTTCTTGAATTCATCAAGCCCTTGAGTTGAAGTTCTTGAAAGCCGTTTTACTGCTACTTCTTGTCCACCTTCCAACACGCCCTGAAAATCACCCTTGAGCTAAATGCTTCTTTCTTTTCGACTTAATGAGTTAAGCACTTAATATGGAAAAACAATACATGGTTGTTTCTTTTGGACTTATGCATCAAATAGTGGGTTATGTGTTTTTTTTTACCTTATAAACAGGTCCATAACCACCCTCTCCAAGTTTGTTGTTGTCTGAAAAGTTGTCTGTAGCTTTATCTAATATAGAAAAGTCGATGAGTGGTAACTCTAGATCATCTTGTGAGTTTTCGTTGTTTTCATGATCATGTCCATGGTCTTCTTCTTGTATCTCTGTTAAATACCCAATGTCAGTTGATCTTTTAAATAACTTTTTTGCATATGTGGCATTCAATAAATGATGATGTGGCAATACACACAAACCCAGAAATGATTTTGTTCAAGAAAACTAATCATTATTTTAACAATACAGTTTGTTTTATAATTTAAATCTCGATCGATAAGCCATATGCTTGAAGTCTCATTTTGACATGTAAATGTATATAGTATCATTACTTGTGATCTATTTTATAAGTTATGTTTGTTTCAAAATATAAAAACAAAACTAAATATCGTTTAGATTAAAAATACTGACAACCACCATTTTAAATTAACAAAATATCAAATGTGTTTTGTTTGTAACTACGCAAAATGCCAATTTATCTCGAATGGTTGAGCATAACTTTATTATCATGCATCTACACATCGGGTTACACCCAATTAGGTTATATTTTATTATAATCCATAGAAAAATTACAAATACATTGTTACTATTTTTATTTTTTAGTAATTTGCAATTCAAATCAAATCGATAGATGATTAAAAAACCAAAATAGTTACCTTGAATTGGCTTCTTCCTCCTCTTCAATCCATAAAATACACAAACAGAAACTAGTATGATCAATAATAATATCGATATTACAAGGACAGAGATCTCTACCCTTCTCTTAACACTCGAGCTTTTACCATTTATTTCTGCAATAACAAATATTTCATGTTAAAACAATAATCAAAGTTATTAACGAAAACAAACTAAAATTAATTTATTTATTTACCTCCTAATTCTGATTTTGGCATTCTTATATAGATATCCTGTCCATTTACTGTATATACTCTGTTATCGATAAGATCCCCAAACCATAACAAACATCCACTTCCACTTCCACTTATATTCTGAGTCGCGTAAGCACTACAAGAACAGTTCTTCTTGCAAACCTTCTCACATTCATCAAGATTCATACTCTGGTTAAATCTCGACCACCGTGTGTCAGGCAACTTCACGTCCGAATACCTCTTAAACCCTTCCTCCGCCCCACACTCCAAACGGGTTTTCCGGCGACACCCTTGACTAAAATCCGCCACCGCCCATTGCCCCGGTGACACCGGCTCAAACCCTTCCAGACACCCACAAGCCGGCGAGTTATCGATATTGCAGCTCCCGAATGGACCACAGAGATTGAAACGATCACAGTTATCAGTCTGTGGAGTTAAATAAAGAAACCATTCTTGTGTTCTTTCGATCCATAGCAGCCGTTCGACACTTCCGGTGGGTGTTACGATTAACTTAGTGATTACTGAAGTGTTGATAAGTTCATAGTGGTAATACATTTCTTTTTCATCGAGAACAAACCCGAATCTGTAGATCGGGTTTGGTTTTAAGTTAGGCTCTCCGCTGAACCTAACGCCGTTCCATGGACCTGCTCGGAAAACGATACCGGAGTTTTTCCAGAGGGTCAGCTGTGGGTATCCTTGAGTATAGATCGACACAGTAAAGTTGCCTTCGGAAGGATCTCCGTCGCTCTTCCATGACGTGAAGTTTCTTTCGACTCCGGTGACTAGATCCTTTCCGAATTTCATTCCGGGAAGAAACGTGTTCGTCGGAAAATCAAAACTCTGCCATACAGGATTCCGATTCTCCAGGTCGTCAACGTCTCGGATGATGAAGTTACCGGTATCTAAAAGGTGAGCTACCGGATTTCTTACTGATGAATTTTTCGACGACCAAATGAGGTCGCCGGTGGCGGAACGGATCACCAAGGTTCCTTGTAGAGTGAGAGACAACTCGCCGGAGGTATTGGTGAGTGGTGTGTTCCGATTAGCGACCCATATAACTTTTCCAGATGAAATTCTCTTGTACCAGATTCCGACGTAGCGGTTTGTGGAGTTTGCTGGGCTGAAGAAACCGAGCTCGAAGGTTTCTTGAGCTGAAACGATGGTCTCGCCGTCTGGCACGTCTCTAATGGTTTGGTTTGCAGAGATGGTGTCTACCGCCGTGGTACAAGTTACCAATGCAGAAAGTACAATGATGCAAAACCAGAAGTTGGTAACTCGTCTTTTTTCCACCATTGATGCCAGCGTCATCCACCAACTTCTCATTAAATTGAGTCCTAATCATTTCTCCATTTATATTTCATATATGGTTCGATAAGTTATCTTTGAATTTTCATATTTTCTTTGGTCTTTCATGGCGATTGGAAAGTTGACTGCAAGGAGTGTGTGATGATTAAGTGTCTGAAAAGTCAAGCAGCATTTGTTTTGTTTTTGCCACTTGACTTCGTCAATTTATTTAGGGGTAGATATGTAGTGATGTCTTTATCTGTAAATGTCATTTTTCTTATTTCTTTTAAAAATTGTTCTCAATCTTCTCAAATTTATAATTGTTGCCGTTTAAATATATATATATCTACCATTACCTCTTCTCATAAACAAAACAAAAAATTCATATATATCTATTTTTTGGAAAACATATTTGCCACGTACATTTCTCCAATTTCCTGTTTTTTTAGTAACATATCTGTTTTGATTTAAAATTTTAAATAAATAAATAAATCTTATTCTAATAGCATAGTATTTTCCAAATTATTGGAATACATCATCTTTTTACCTTATTTACTCCGTTTAATTTTCATACCATATATATGGAATTTTTTTTTACAATTATTAGTTTTTTTTATGTAAACAAGTTACAACTTAATATATATATATATATATATATATATATATATATATATTATAATATATATATATATATATATATATATAGTAAGTATTGTATGCCTATGAAATTGATTCTGAGCCAATCATTTGGGATAATTTAAGCAAGGGTTCTATATTTATTAACTAATTAAAAATAATCAATTTAATCACACAAATTTCACTATAAGGGTATTCTGGATAATTAACTATATTTAAAAAATGAAATTTTCGGAAATTTAAGGATAATTAGATCTCCTAATTTTAAAATCTGAAAATGTTATTCAATATTAATTCCAACATATTTTTATAATGACCGAATTTATTCTGTCAGAATGATATTTTTTTAGAATGTTATATTCTATGAGAATGTCAGAATATATATTCTTATAGAATACATGTTTTGATTGAATGACAGAATACATATTCTTATAGAATGAATATTAGATCATATCATTCTTCAAACGAAATAACAACATTTTTTGATTGAATGAACTTTCTAAGAATAACAAATTTTTTTATACAAGTTAAATTTTTGTCATCACATTCTTAAAAAATAAAAATCTTAATATACTATTCTATTATAATGAAACACTCATTAATAACAAAAGAAACACAATTGGTAGATTATTCTAACTGAATATTCTACCAGAATATATACTATAATATATAGTCGTATCATTATATTGTAAATTATTATGCCAATGCTTTCTTTTGTGAAGATCATTGACCATTGTTCATCTTCATCCCACATGCCATCATCCAACCTTCCAACACTTGATCATCAGGTTCCTTTCACACATTCTTTGAGAATAACTTCCTTCAAATCGAGTATACGATGAGAATAACCGCCATGAAATCGAATATGTAAAAGTAACATTTTATACATTCACCATGAGCATTCTAAATTTTGTGCATTCTAAAAGAATAAATCTATAAATTATGGCAGAAATCATGATAAAATATTAATCCAGTTGCAATAAAACCCTAGAAAAATCATTCTTGTGTGATTTTACCATAATCATTCTTATGTGATTATATTAGAACTACAATTCTGGCAGAATCATTCCTATGTGATTCTGCAAGAATATAATACTCTTTACACATTATTCAAATAGAAAAATACATTAGATGCAAAATATTCTTAAAGAATAAAACAGTTAAAGATGAGAATAACACCTGATGATGATGTAAGATAGCTATTCTAATATTTCAGTTAGTTGATCACTAAGTAATAACATTATAGTACATAAATAATAACATTAATATAGATAATTTGTTGTACTCTTGGTTCAGTAATTACATCAAACACATGGTGGGCATTGATGAATTCTAACAGATTTGTACTAGACATTTCGTCAAACACCTTCAGGGCGCAAACAAATCATCACGCTTTGTAGAATATTAGTAATGAATATGAAAGCTAGGTAGCAATCAAACATGAAACTTGATGAACAACAATATGTAAACATTAAAACACAAAAACAGAAACGATAAAGAAAACATGTACTGAATGTTCATTTACCTGAATGGGAAAGAGCTTGGTTATACCCTTTTTCGCCAGAGCTGAGACAATCTCTTGATTATCCCAGGCTTAGAGATCTCGAGACCATCAGAAGACGTACCCCTTTCACCGTCGTATGCGTGATCGGCGGCAACCGCAAATCCCGCAGCTTGTGTTGACACATCGGAAGCCCTGATACTCGCCCATCGTGACCCATGAAAACTCCTCAAAAACCCAAACTTTGGATGGGAAGTTTGAGACCGGCTAGGAGATTCTTTACGATTTGCGGTGAGGGTGGTGTGGATGAAGGAACGAGAAGGTGTTTGAGTGGGTTGCAAGTAGTAATGGAAGCAAGATTAGTGAGTCTCTTGGAAGAAGTTTTGAAGAGGAGACTATTCATTTCTGTAATTCGATTTCAGATCGTCTTATGTGTGTGTGTGGGTTTTGTATGAGATGAAGAGGGAACGTAAAACCCTAATCTGGTGGGGGTGAGGTTTTAAAAATGATAACCTAATTTAAAGGGGTATATTATTTGATTTTATCAATTTACCATAATTAATTATAGTATAGATTACTATTATACCCTTATATTTATTATTAATGATTTATTTTTTCTTAAATTCTCATTGGTCCATAGATGCATACAATAATTGCTGAAAATATTTGAACCTAGCTCTCTCTCTCTCTCTCTCTCTCTCTATATATATATATATATATATATATATATATATATATATAGAGAGAGAGAGAGAGGTATGTTCAGGTATTCTAACTAAATATTATATGGATGTAGGATTGATTGTGGACCAATCAAACTCTAAAAGAAATTTAAATAATTAAATAAATACATAAGGGTATTTAAGTAATTTGATAAATAACTTCCACAAATAATCTCCAATAATTATGGTAATCATTGACTTGACCTAGTTTTTATCCCTCACACACGTACAGAATACACTTGATCCACCAAATTCATTGATTTCATCTACGCGGCTCTCTCTTATCCTCTTCATCAATCATCCATATTCACCGATTCATCGATCATCCATATTCACCGGTTCATTCATCTACTACGTCTCTATTCTCCTGTTCGAAAGGTTGTGATTTTTTTCCCTGTAAATATATTTGATTTTCATTTCTTTTACTTCTTGTTTGCTAGCGATTATTCCAATGGATGCTACTGATTTACGATTCTTTTTATTCTATCCAGGGCATTTGTTTGCTCCATTTTCGCCATTAAACTATTTTCAATCAACACTAAGAAAAAAGAGTTGATTTTCGCCTGTAAAGGTTTGTGATTTTTAATATTATAACACTTGGATTTAATATAATGAATATTGAGAATTTATGAAGGATTTAGACAACCAGGTGGGCGACGCTAATAGGAAACAATTAATTTTAGTGTACCACCGACTATTTTTTTATGGATTTTTCTGGGTAAGTGTGAAACTCAAATTTTACTTTTCCTTTTTCCCAAATCCCGTCGACATAATAACATTTGTTTTCATGATAAGTAAATAAGATATATTGTTGTTCATATGGGAATTTTTTTCATTTATGATTCATAGAAAATATGGTGATTTAGGGAGCGCCCTAAAAGTGTTTGATGAAATGCCAAAGAGAAATATGATGGTATTGATTGTTAAACATGTCATGGCCTCAAATTGTATTCATGGTTAGTGATGGAATTTCTATTGAATGTTTATCGATTGTGCATATCATCTCCATTGTTCTACTGATTTATGCATTTTTACTTTGATATTTTTCCAACAGAATGCATACGGTAACTGAATATTGAATTCCAATTCTATCGGAATGGAATCACGAATTCCAATTCTGTTGGAATGGAATATTGATGTTTTCTCACTGATTTATGCATTGATTTTGTTTTTACAGAAGTTGATGTTTGAAGAAAGAACGACAAAATTGAATGTGATTCTCAGCAACATTATTCTATTAAAATGTATTAGTGTGTTTGTTAGTTTTGATGTTTTTTTTTCTCGATTTGAAAGTTTTTCTAGTTTTATTCTTTAACAATAAATGTAATTCTTAGTAATTGTTACTTGTATTCTACAAGAATTAATGTAATTTTTGTTTTTATTCTTCAATTGATGCTTCAAGAATTTGTTATTCTACAAGAAGTTTTTAAAGTCAATATTTTTATTTTTGAATAAACTCATAAACATATTCTGTCAGAATGTTTAGATTAAAAGAATTATAATTCGTAAAATCGGATTTTTAAAATTAATACAATCTATGATCCCTTAAAATATACAATTTTCCTTTATTAAATCTATTTTAATTAACTATAATACCCTTGTAATTAAATAAGATGATAGTTTTCAATTATATTTAATTCAATAATATGTATTAATCACTTTCTTAAAATAAGTAAAATGATTGGTCCACAATCATTCTTACATCCATACAATAATTAGTTAGAATATAATAATCTAAGCATATATATATATATATATATATATATATATATATATATATATATATATATATATATAGAGAGAGAGAGAGAGAGAGAGAGTTAGGTTCAAATGTTTTTACTATCTATTGTGTGCATGTATGATTGATTCTGAACCAATCGTTTTAATTATTTTAAAAAAAGTTATTAATGAAAATTTAATAAATATTCATTATATCTTCAACATGTAATATGCATTAATTACTTTTTTAAAATAACTAAAATGATTGGTCTAGAATTAATCCTACATGTGCACAATAGATAGTTAGAACACAATAATTAACTTTTATATATATATATATATATATATATATATATATATATATATATATATATATATATATATATCTATATTATATATATATACACGTTTGAAGGAGAGAAAGTATATATAAGTTGAAGGAGAGAAAGTGGTCCGTGGCTGGAGGTATATATTGGTGCGTCTTCAAGACGCCAAGCTTGAGTTTCCAACTCCTCCCGACAGTTCGGTGCGTCGAAGAAACAAGACTTGCAAGGTTGCGTTTCAAGACTTGTATATGGGCTTTTCTTCGGAAGAAATAATGGACCAAATATTTTCTTTTGACTAAATATTTTGTATCATGGTTTTTCGGCTAGGTAATATT